TATATTTAATTCTATTGCAAAATTTCAGAACAAATTCTTAAAGACATCTCAGAGAAGATTGCGATTGGAGAGTTGGAGGATGCATCCGAGACAATTGGACAAATGGGCAAAGGATTTAAACAAACAATGGCTGGAAAACCAAAGTCAATGGAAGGCAACACTAAACAAGTGGAACAAGAAAGGAAAGATGGTAAGGTTTCTATTTATTCATCTGGATGAGAACATAAATGTATTTCTGTTCAGTTTATTTTTACAATACAATCTCTGATGTGAAAGCTCGTGAATACATCAAGTTAAGTGGGTAGATAATAAGACTTTGTAATAAATGAAATAAGGCGAATGTCGTACTGGCGACACATTTGGTGGGGGAACGCGGCGTTCTAACTTTCGGTCTGGTGAGGGGCACAGGCAGCATTACTCTTCTTCGATGCTCTTCCTTATTGTACCTTAATGGGCGTATGTTTCTTATTACACGTATGACGAGAATGTTATTTCGTAAAGCTTATTAATTTTGTAGAAATCTATATGCTTTATTGTCACGTGTGAGAAAAGCTTCTACGGCCAATCACAATAGCGTACAGCTGTTTTCATATGTGAAAGTGTAACCAATCAACGACAGCGTAAACGCCTTCTGAGCCAATCAGAGTCGTTTATCTCTTGCATTCAAATGGCTTTCCACATTTGGCTGCTTTTTAGCGGCGCCTTCTCCAAATATTTCTTTAGAAAATGGCGGGGACGAAGGAAAGCTATAACAGGTTTGTGTCAAAAGCCCTCATTCGCTCGTACCTCGCTCGTTCGGGTTTTGACACAAACAGCTCGTGAATATAACTCCGTACGCCGCACTTTCTATGACGTAAACTATATCAACTGACTTAACTACAGCGGGTACTTATACCCATACTGGGTATTACCTCAAATGTCACACCCTCGATCCTTACCTAGTTAAGATCATCTCGCCACCGACGAGAAGTCGACGTTCGAAGTAATATTGCAGTCGGTACCATTTCTATTAAATTATTTTTTTCTCTCTCCCCAGTTTTAGCGAGAAGAAGGAAGTCCCACCAAGTCGAATTCCAGCCAAACGAAAAACAACATTAGGAACGAAAAGCAAAAAGAAAGGAGGGAGGGGGAAAATTCTGAAAATTGATCTCAGGCCAGGTTGTTTTTTGCCCCGTTGTTAGAATAGAACCTGTGCATTCCCAAAACCAAAAGCTGTATTGTAACATCAGAGACGGAAGCGACTTCGTCGAGTCTCGTCGCTTACTTAGTATTCTAGGTATTGTTGGTCGCCTCAAAAAACCATGTTTTACGAAACGTCAAGCAGTCAGTGGGTAAAATTCTTTTATTTTAATAGAAAGTGAAGATGAGACTCCTCCCAAGGTGAATCTTGATGATGACTTCTTTATTGACACAAGTCCAAGCACAGGTAACAAAAATAATGACTAATTATATTGTGGAGACTGAATCAGGTCGCAATTCAAGTCGCTCACCCAGCGACAGGGTGCGGTGAGAGGCACGGCTGTATTCGCAAGCTATGTTCAAACGGCTTTATTCTAAAGTTCACGCTAAAGGATTTCATCCACAAGTTAGAACCGCATACTACATAAATAAATAAATGGTACCCTGTATGAAGAGGTTTCATTTGAATCGTCACACCATAGAATTTCACCCGCACACTCGGAAGGTACATTAGCCTGTCCACAGACGTTTCTTCTTGTTTCTTGGACGAATTTTTGCGAGTGCCGAGAAAATCAGAAGGAGCGCTAGCGGTTAATAAACCCCCCGCGGTTTTCATTTTCATACGCGCGTTCGACTGAATCTCTAGAAAAATAAAGGGTCTCTGAACAGGCTTAAAGAAGACCGACATACGAAATAAATAGTACCATGTGAAAGTACTGCTGAAGAGGTTTCATTTGAATGGTTACACCATAGGATTTCATCCACGGACTCAAACGTTAGAACAACATACTAAATAAATAGTACCATGTGAAAGTACTGCTGAAGAGGTTTCATTTGAATGGTTACACCATAGGACTTCATCCACAGACCCTAAAGTTTGAACTACATACTAAATAAATAGTACCATGTGAAAGTACTGCTGAAGAGTTTTCATTTGAATGGTCACACCCTAGGATTTCATTCAAAGGCTGAAATTCTGAAATTAATTCGTGGAGAGAAAATGTTAAAATATAATGTCAGGTTTATTTTCCTTTATCTTCTTATTTAAACGACAACGAGAAATTGTGTTTGGTGCTTTAAGTTTTAACTTGCTCTCTTCTTTTTTTATCAGAGCCCCCAACGTTCGAGGAAGAATCCAGAAAAAAGAAAAAGAAAACTAACAAGACACGCAAACGATCGCAGTTTAAATTTGAGAAAAAGTAGGCTGAATTGCACTTGTGAAGCATTATTAACAAAATTGTATGTTTATATATGTAAATATGTGTACAAACCGTCTGTTAAGTAATTAAAGAAGATATTTATTTGCATAGATCTTGTGTGTGTTAATTTTATTTTTGTCTTTGCAGAAAGGCAAATAAACAAACAACAACAAAAATTGATATTATCTACAAATGGAGGTTTCTAAAAATGAAAAAAATAAGCAATTGTTTAACGTCTGCTGCGAAGAGGCCTACACGCCGGATGTTTTGAAAATAAGTTTTTTTTTTTCATTCTTATTGTTTTTCTCACTCGATTTCCTATCGAAGTTTACGTCTACCTTTCTGTACTCAGAGTCACAACACAGAATGGCCTAAATCCACTACGTTACAACATATATCGCTTCGCAAGCGTCGTTTAAGGGAGTTTAAACAACGACGACGGCGACGGCTACGAAAACGTCACTTAAAAAGTGAATTTGCGCTGCTTCAAACTTTACCGCGCTTATTCCATCTCGTTTAATTCGTCAAATCTTGGCAAATTTTTNACTTGTGAAGCATTATTAACAAAATTGTATGTTTATATATGTAAATATGTGTACAAACCGTCTGTTAAGTAATTAAAGAAGATATTTATTTGCATAGATCTTGTTTGTGTTAATTTTATTTTTGTCTTTGCAGAAAGGCAAATAAACAAACAACAACAAAAATTGATATTATCTACAAATGGAGGTTTCTAAAAATGAAAAAAATAAGCAATTGTTTAACGTCTGCTGCGAAGAGGCCTACACGCCTGATGTTTTGAAAATAAGTTTTTTTTTTTCATTCTTATTGTTTTTCTCACTCGATTTCCTATCGAAGTTTACGTCTACCTTCTGTACTCAGAGTCACAACACAGAATGGCCTAAATCCACTACGTTACAACGTATAACGCTTCGCAAGCGTCGTTTAAGGGAGTTTAAACAACGACGACGGCGACGGCTACGAAAACGTCACTTAAAAAGTGAATTCGCACCGCTTCAAACTTTATCGCGCTTATTCCATCTCGTTTAATTCGTCAAATCTTGGCAAATTTTTTGGGGGTTGAATTCTAAAGGACTGCATCAAAGTTCAGGAAAAGAAAAAGAAAGTTGTTGTCTTTTGTTTCCGTCCTCGACGAAACGTGAAATTAGGCAGTTTCACGTTGTAGTCGTGCAACGACGGCAGAGAAATGTACAAAAAGCGTGATGCACGTGCAAAGTTGTTGTTTTGCTTGTCTAAACCTATTTCTTTTTTGCCGTTCTCGTTGCCGTCGCCGTCGTCGTTGCCTAAACTCCCTTTTAATTCCCAGTGGCGGGCGGGCACAATCGCTGAAAGTGAACGAAAAGTTTACCCGGTACGGTTTTCGAGACGGGACAAAAGCCGTCCAGTACGGCGTGAAGGTCACAGCCTTCAATAAAAAACTTACTGCATTTTTTCTTTTTCGTTTCACCCATATTAGATTTTGAGACTGAAATAAGTTTTTACTATCATAGTTTGCCATTACTTATGTATAAACAGAATTAGAATTTATTTAATTAACGTGGCGTTTAACGAAGAGTGACGGCGATTAACAAGCAGTGTTGGTGTCTGTTTTGTTTGCCAAGCACTTAATACATATATGTCGGCCATCACAATTTACAGAGCAGTTGAGAGGATTTGAAGTTTCACCTTTATTGTATTTAATCTTGCCTTCGGTTTTGGCTTAAGAAAACAACCTTTCGCACTAAACCGCGGAATTTTTTTCCTAGTTATTGTTTTCTTCCTCATTACTCTAGATTATTATTACAATTAATATTATTATTAGAATTAGTATTGGCGTTAGTGTTTTGATCGTAACTTAAAAAACAAACAAACGACTCAGTTTCATTTAAAATAACCTGGGTCGACAAAATGGGCACCAAACAATTAACTAAAGACAATTCCCGCGAGAAATTCCTAAGAATGGAAAAAGCCACAATCCGTGCCTCTGAATGAGTTACAACACGTTGGGTTTTGTCTTTTGGTTCAAAGCCTTGGATACCTTTGATGTTCTCAATTGTTCTCCATAAAAAAGAAATATGGACTTTTAGTTTTTAATTACGCTCTTGGAAATATTATCGGTTCTTTCCAGTTTCCATAACAATAAGCCATTTATTTAGCTGAATGTCGCACTTGATTAGAGTTCAGGCAGGTGGCTGCGTCTGCTTGCCATGCGTATGAATTTAAAAAAATGAATTTATTCTAATGTCGTTTTTATAGTAGTTAAGTAGCCACGCCACAAGCTTCAGTTCAAGCGCTTCTAATCAAAAGATAACTCTACGATCTTAGCTTTCAAAGAGCAGTTTGGTTTACCCGTCGAAGCCTTTTAATGGCGGAAGGAAGGAGAGACGAGTCCGTCGCGCCGGGAACCGTCCAGGTTGTTGTTGAATTGATTGTTTTTATCTTCATTACGCTAGCAACACTTACAGGGAATTCTTTGGTTGTTATTTCGGTGATCAAATTCCGCCATCTTCGGACGAACACGAATTTCATCTTGCTAAGCTTGGCGTTGACCGACTTGAGTATGGTGCTTATAATGGTGTTGAATGCAGTTACAACCGTCACAGGAGAGTGGATTTTTGGAGAGTGGTGTTGCAAAGCGGTCGCTTC